TTTTTATTTTCCTTTCTCTTCTTTCTTTTAATGTCTGTCTCCTTTCTTTTGCTTTGTATCTTACAAATGTTAGAAACTTTGTATACTAGTCATCTTTGATTGTATATTGATTTTTAAGAGGAAAGCACTAAAAACCTGACTGGGAAGCCTGGTAATATGGATGGTACTTGTATGCTAGGAGATTATACTTGAAGAGATTTGGTGGGGAACCAGTCATTTTGTAAGGAACACTGAAATATCAGTATTTGTAAGTCTCTTTTCTATGGGTGCTCAATTTCTTCAAATAAAAAAATATTATTATGTTACTGTGGGTATAGTTACCTAGTTGTTCTGTGCCAAAGGCAGTGGAGAGGTGTTGAGAGTTAATTCTTTATGCATCTCTGACATTCCTGCACATCTTATATCAAGTTTTCATTTGGGCTACCTTGTCAAGAATGTTTGTATAGCAATCAGCCTGGAAGATAGAGAAAACATCTCCTCCTGTATCTGTTTGCTATAAAACATAATAAACATAATGCACCCCTGTGAGACAAAGATTGATCAGGTTTGGGAAAAGCCACAGCATCCAGAAGCTGCTCTGCGTCACTGTTGGGAAACTGAGTAGAGGGGCAGGCACAGGTTACTTATAGACATATGAAGCTCATGCTGCCTGCTGTATTGAGAGTGTTAAAAATACTTTGTCTGTGATTCAGTAGTCTCTTGTCTTCTGCTAGCATTCATGGAATGGAATGTTGTCGAGCTAACCTCCTAGCTTACAAGTATCATTAGTCAATTATCCAGTTTCTCTTGTTGAGAACTGTTAATGGTATGAGATTTTACATCTATAAATAAAATATAGATGTAAAATATTATATATATATAATATTATTCTCTTTGTATTTAGCCCCTTGTCTCTTATCACTCTTGATATGCCATGTAATTCCAGGGCTCGAGATCTTCTTATTTAGTTTCTTAGAATAAACTTTTAGTTTCCTGTCAGAAAGGGGAATGTTGGCTACTAGCATTTGATGTATTGCTTAGATGGTCTGTGAAGGGTGAGGGTAAGGGATTTCTGTTTAATTTATAAACTAGTCATCTATAACTCAATTTTCTGCTTTGGGTATCAACTATACACACTCTCTCTGATCATAATTTTTAATAAATAAAATGGAAGAGAGAGTATAATCAAAATTTGAAGAAGGGCAAATACAGCTTTAATATTCAGATAAGAGCACGTAATAGTTATATACCTAGAAACTATAAGTTAGCAAATTTATCATCAGCTCTCTTCTTACCCTACCACCCTACACATGCATAAAATATAACTGATCATTAAATATATAGATTTATAAGCATTTGGAAAGCAGAATGGCAATAATTAAGAAGTAATATGGCTTCATTGAGGGCAATGTCTTCTGAACACTAATCTATTATTTTTAGACAAGAATGTAATATATGAGTACATCACGTCAGAGCATCCCAAACCATGAGTTCTAACATTACCATGTAACAATTTGTCTGTCTAATGTTACCATTAATAGACTGTAATTATTGGCTTCTTATGTTAGACAGGCAGCTGTATGGTGTCTGGTGATGTGTATCTCATCCAAGATACTTCACTGCACATTTTCAATATATGCTATGTGATATGGTCTGCCTGTGTCCCCATCCAAATCTCAACTTGAATTATATCTCCCAGAATTCCCATGTGCTGTGGGAGGCACCCAGGGGGAGGTAATTGAATCATGGCGACCTGTCTTTCCCATGCTATTCCCATGATAGTAAGTCTCCTGAGATATGATGGGTTTATCAGAGGTTTCCACTTTTGCTTCTTTCTCGTTTTTCTCTTGCCACCACCATATAATAAGTGCCTTTCACCTCCTGCTGTGATTCTGAGGCCTCCCAAGCCATGTACTGTGAGTCCAATTAAACTTTTTTTCTTCCCAGTCACAGATATATCTTTATCAGCAGCATGAAAATGGACTAACACAGTAAATTGGTACCAGTAGAGTGGGATGTTGCTGAAAAGATACCCAAAAATGTGGAAGTAACTTTGAAACTGGGTAACAGGCAGAGGTTGGAACAGTTTGGAGGACTCAGAAGAGGACACGAACATGTGGGAAAGTTTAGAACAACGTAGAGAATTGTTGAATGGCTTTGACAAAAATGCTGATAGTGATATGAGCAATAAGGTCCAGGCTGAGGTGGTTTCACGTGAAGATGAGAAAGTTGTTGGGAACTGGAGCAAAGGTGACCTTCATTACGTTTTAGCAAAGAGACTGGTGGCATTTTGTCCCCACCCTAGAGATTTATGGAACTTTGAACTTGAGAGAGATGATTTAGAGTATCTGGCAGAAGAAATTTCTAAGCAGCAAAGCATTCAAAAAGTCACTTGGGTGCTATTAAAAGCATTCCATTTTAAAAGGGAAACAGAACATTAAAGTCCAGAAAATTTGCAGCCCGATAATGCAGCAGAAAAAAAAAAACCCATTTTCTGAGGAGAAATTCAAGCCAGCTACAGAAATTTGCGTAAGTAGCAAGAAGCCTTATGGTAATCCCCTAGACCATGGGGAAAATGTCTCCAGGCCATGTCAGAGACCTTCATGGCGGCTCCTCCCATTACAGCCCTGGAGGCCCAGGAGGAAAAAGTGCTTTTGTGGGCCAGGCCCAAGGTGTCCATGCTGTGTGCAGCTTAGGGACTTGGTGCCTTGTGTCCCAGCCACTCCAGCCATGGAGGAAAGGGGCCAACATAGAACTCAGGCTGTGGCTTTAGAGGGTGGAAGCCTTGGCACCTTTCATGTGGTGTTGAGCCTGTGGGTGCATAGAAGTCAAGAATTGGGGTTTGGGAACCTCCGCCTGGATATTGAAGGATGTGTGGAAATGCCCAGGCAAAAGTTTGCTGCAGGGCCGGGGCTCTCATGGAGAACCTCTGTTAGGGCAGTGCAGAATAGAAATGTGAGATTGGAGCCCCCACACAGAGTTCCTACTGGGGTACTGCCTAGTAGTGCTGTGAGAAGAGAGCCACTGTCCTCCAGACCCCAGGATGGTAGATCCACCAACAGCTTGCACATTGTACCTGGAAAAGCCACAGACCCTCAATGCCAGCCCTTGAAAGCAGCTGGGAGGGAGGTTGAACTCTGCAAAGCCACAGGAGTGGAGCTGCCTAGGACCATGGGTACCCACCTCTTGCATCAGCGTGACCTGAATTTCAGACCTGGAGTCAAACGAGATCATTTTGGAGCTTTAAAGTTTGGCTGCCCTGCTGGATTTTGGACTTTCATGGGGGTGGTAATTTGGCCAATTTCTTCCATTTGGAATGGCTGTATTTACCTAATCCCGGTACCTCCATTGTATCTAGGAAGTAACTAGCTTGCTTCTGATTTTACAGGCTCATAGGAAGAAGGGACTTGCCTTGTCTCAGATGAGACTTTGGACTGTGGACTTTTGGGTTAATGCTGAAATAAGACCTTGGGGGACTCTTGAGAAGGCATGATTGGTTTTGAAACATGAGGACGTGAGATTTGGAGAGGATGGGGCAGAATGATGTGGCTTGGCTGTGTGCCCACCCAAAACATTACTTGCATTGTATCTCCCAGAATTCCCACATGTTGTGGGAGGGACTCAAGGGAAGGTAATTGAATCATGCTTTCTCATACTATTCTCATGGTAGCGAATTTGACTCTGATTATCAAGATGAAAATAAAATATAAAAACTGTTCTTGGAGTTATTTCTAAACAGAACTTATCTCCAATCCTAATGTGACAGAAATATATATAATAATCAGTATTCGATAATTTTTCATGGGGGAAAATTGCAAAGCACAGAACAACAGAAATCGGAACATCACGTTCCACACAAAAACATTGCCTTTCTCTACAGATCTTCTTGCCATCCTTGTCACTGGTGAGCAGCAAAAGTTGCAATGACCCATTGGGTTTTGTTTCTTTGATGTTGGTGGTAATGCTCTTGGGGAAGTCTATTCCAGACAGGCAAAGAGGTGTGACATCTCAGAGCATGGATGACCTCACAGACGTTGCTGCCCTGGGTCGTGATGCTTTTTCAGCATCCTTTTAATCAGTGTCAGTCTGAAGCTTGTATGGCTAAGCAAGTGCTCAGAATTCTCCTTCCTGAACAGGATGTAGTAGTTAAGCACTGTAATTTTTAGAAGGTGGTGAAAGAATTTCTTCTATCAAACCTTGTGTGTTATCTCATGGTAAATGCTGCAGCCTCAAGCACCGCTAGCTTGTATCCTTGGGGCAAAAGAGAAAGGATTTAATGATATTTTAGGAAGATGTGCTTTCTCCGTTCTGGATTTGACCTCAGCCAGGAGAATTGTGATTCCTGCCTTTTCTCAGAGAAAGAATCTCCCTCTTCATTCCTGTAGAATCTCTCACGGAAACATTATTTCTTCCTTTCAGTAGTTTCTCTTCCCTCATTTACTTGTATTCAAAATCAGCTCAAGTCCTATTCCATACAAACATAATCTGGAATAGTAATACATATTGATTTAATTTTTTCTCTGACTTCTTCCACTTAAAAATTTAGCACTGAATCAAAACACATTTTCATATGCCTGTTTTGTCTTGCCAATAATAATTGTGCAAGTTCTCTGCAGTTTGGGATTTCTAATACCCTTTACATTTACTTGTATTTCCAAAGCACTGTTAATTTTTACTGGCAGAAGAGTATGTGTTTTATTCTTAAAAACTGACAAATACACACTTTTTCCAGAAGATAGTGAGTACAGTTATAGCCTAATTCCTCCACCTTCTGCAGCATAGTTTGATCAGAATTTTTCCCAGAAAAATAAAATTGATCAGAGAACCTGAAGGAAGATTTGCTTTAATCAGTTTTTCTCTTTCTAAATTGAATAACAGAATTCAAATTCCATAAACTTTCTCTTGAATCAGCACATGGACAGGAAGAATCATCTAAAGAATTTAGAATATGTTAATGTCCTCTAGTGAAGTATCAACCAAGAGTAAAACACTAAGCAAAGTAGAAAATGCACAGTAAGAGAGACAAGGATAGAAAAGGGAAGGTAACATTAATTAAAGAAATGGTAGAACCGGGCTAAGTGTGAATATGCGAGAGGACTTATCCTCCTTGTTGGGACTCGGGAATTTACAACACATTGGATTGGGAGGACTAAATCTAGAACAGTCCCTGACTTGTAAAGGGGTGAGAAATCATATCTCATTTTCTCCTTGCAAAGAAGGGTGCTTACGGAGCTAGTTTCTCCTTAGAGGTCCCTTGTTTCTGTTGAGCACGAATGTGCCGTTGGGGCCAGCGCCAGTCCTGAGTTAGGGCCTCTTCTCTCTGATGTCTGCTTTTTGTGCAGAAAGGATGTGGCTGTGCTGCGCTGTGGATAAGCTGCTGGCACAGAGGTACACAGATGTCTGGCTGGTGCTGGCAGACCCCAGAATCAGGGAGAACTGCTCCTTCTTCTCTCTAGAGACATTGTACCCATCAGGAACATCTCCTTTTTCATAGTTTTTAATATCATATGAGAAATAGATCAGCCGTAGCCCCAGACCTGGGTCTTGTCGGTACCAGAACATTCTTCCATGGTCCATATCCTGGACACATTCCAGAAAAACTTTCTCTCCCATTTTTTTGACTAGATATCTCGGGTTCTGGGTTACTTTCACTTCCACGAGGCCTGTGAGAGACAGATAGCAAGGGTGAAAAAAAAAAAAAAGGCCACCAGGAAGCATGAGGAGAAAAATAGCTTTGAATACAAGGCTTCAAAATAGTAGGACAGGGGTTGCCATCAGCTCCCCAGACCCCGCTACTCCCAGGACTCACCTATTTCCAGGAAACAAAAGGCCACACTACAGAGAAGCCTGATTCCCATGGCTGTTTTGAAGAAAGAATAGGTCTTCTCCAAGGACGAGGCTGTGGGTTGATGGTCTGTGATGTCATTGTCCCAGCCCACACTCATAACCCCTCAGGCATTGTCTAGACTAGAAAGGGTATAGAGGTGCTAGAGAGTGAAGGGCATCCCTTGTTCTCAGGGAATTGTCACTCTGCGTGTGTGTGTGGGTGTGGGTGTGTGTATAGAAAAGCGTTAACACAGCGGGCCTGAGACCACTCTCCTTAGAAGGTCCAGCTTGCATGGTTGGCTCTTGATTTGCATCTGTGAACTTGAATTTGGGGAGTGTTCCCACCATCGGTAACTGGTAAGCGTGGCTTACTGTGCCTAGACTGCTTGCACAAACCATGTGGATTAGGCCAAACACCTGTTCCACTTCAAGTCTGAAATTCTGCTGCATGATAGGCAGAGGGTGCTGATGTGATCAGCTGAATTATTTTGTGAGGGTTGCCATAAGTCACCCCAGACTGGGTCGTTTAAACAACAGAAATTTATTTCTCACACTTCTGGAGAGAAAATAGATGTCCAAGAGTGGGGTGTCAGGAGGGTTGGTTTCTTGTGAAGCCTCTCTCCTTGGCTTGTAGATGGCTTCCCCTTGTGCCTGCACATTGCCGTCCCTCTGTGCATGTTTGTGTCCTAATATCCTCTTATAAGGATACCAGTCATGTTAGTGAAGACCTCATTTAACCTTGACCACCTCTGTAAAATCCTTATCTCCAAACATAGCCATATTCTCAAGCACTGGAGGTTATAATTTCAACACGTCGATATTTAATGACACAATTCAGCTCCTAACACCAGCCACCAAAAGTTCTGGAGGTGCTGAGTCTCTAATGAGCTTCCCTGGGCAGAAATATTGTTCTTACGTTGCTGCATTTTCAGTGTTGGGATGAGACTGTGCTCTCTCGGCAAGCAGAGAACATGAGGAAGTCTCATGTGAATTTCTCCAAACTCTACCATGTCTTTGTTCCTTGTGATCATAGCATTCTTACTACATCCTTGTAACACATCTTTGCTATAGGTACAAGGGCACGCCGAGTCCCATGAATCCTGCTGGTGAGTCTCAGTCTTTGAAAGTGAAGGTAATTTTTTTTTCCTGAGCAACTGTGATTAGGAAAACCTTACCATTCTCTGTCTGTCTGTCTGTCTGTCTGTCTGTCTGTCTGTCTGTCTCTCTCTCTCTCTCTCCTTTTCTCACTTTAAAAATATGCTTTCTTGACAGCAGTCTTAGTTTCTCATACAATATACTTAATAATTACTATAAGTTGCATATTGGTTAGAAGGGCAGGCTTTGGAACTATGCTGCCTGGGTTTGAACCTGGTTCAAATCCACATGTGTAGGTTCATGTGAGTGCTCACATGTGTAGGTTTACCTGATGGGGTTGGGGAGATGGTGGTGGACCAATAATGGGGTGGTAGCTGTAGACGTTTAGCCCCAGGTGCAAGCCATAAAGGGTGCAAAGCATTTGAAAATAATCATAAAATCCAAGTGAAATGATTTTGCTTTTATTATCACCACGTGCCAGAAATTCTAAACAGTTTTGGTGATAAAAGACTCCTTCAATGCAACATCTGTCCTTCTGTGATAGGCTTATTTCACTTAGCATCATGTCAAACACATAGAAGCAGAGAGTAGAAGGATGATTGCCAGGAAAATGGGAGACGGTGGTGTTGGGTTGCCATTCAACTGGTGTAAAATTTCAATTATACAAGATAGTTACATTCTAGAAATCTGCTATACAACATTACCCCTAGAGTTAACAATATCATACTGCACACTAGTTTTGTTTAAAGGTTAGATTTCATGCTAAGCGTTATTCCCACAGTACAAAGAAATCTCACCAAGTAATTCTGGTACACATCGAGAACCACTGATCAAAACGAAAGGGTCAGATACAACTGTCAGTGCAATGCTTATACTACATTTTTCAGTAGTATTTTCCTTGTGGTTGTTTTGCTAACATTTTTCCTTAAAACATTCTAATGGTCTAAACACTCTTTGAAACTGTATCTATGCACGATACACATCAATCATAGTCACACAATAGTTTTTAAGTTGTTTGCAATAATATAAAATAGTTATAATTATGACTATATTCCTCAGCTTTGACATTACTGCGAACATCTAATATCTAATCCAACAGACTTGGCCTTACCATAAATCAAGCATACTGGCACAGCGACCCAACACAAACACCCTTTGAACTTCAGTTTCACTAGACTATTTGCTTACACAGAGTTTTACACCTGTAAACATTCTTATCTTTATTACAGTTTTTTTTTTTTTTAATTTTACAAGACACGAAGTCTCAAAGCTTCTACTGGCAAAATCTGTAAGTGCATAGTGTAGTCTGACCTACTTAAATGAAAAGTATTAGACTAAGATTCAAATTGTCTCCGGCACACAGGTGAACATAAAGGGGACCTGGAGAGGATCCCTGAAGACTGTCTGTAGAATGCAGCCTTCTCTAGTAGGTAGTGTGAGGGGGCACTGGATTGATGCAGGTAAGTTCTAATGAAGAGCCCAGGCTGAGGAAGCCCTACTGAGGAGACAGCAAATGAGAACGAAGGGAAAGAGGACACTGACAGCTCAGTCTACAGGTGTGTTGTTACTGGGGTTGGACTTTTTTTTTTTTTTTTTTTTTGAGATGGAGTCTCAGCCTGTCACCCAGGCTGAATGGCTCGATCTCGGCTCACTGCAACCTCTGCCTCCTAGGTTCAACCGAGTCACCTGCCTCAGCCTCTCAAGCAGCTGGGATTACAGGTGAGCGCCACCATGCCTGGCCAATTTTTTGTATCTTTAGTAGAGACGAGGTTTCACCATGTTGGCCAGGCCGGTCTCAAACTCCTGACCTCGTGATCCACCTGCCTCAGTCTCCCAAAGTCCTGGGATTACAGGCATGAGCCACTGCACCTGGCCAGGGACAAACTTTTACAGAACAGGGCACTCAGAGCTCTGAAGTCTCAGTGCAAGGAGCTGGGAAAGGCTCCTGAGTGCTTCTGTGATGGCAGAGGCTTCCTCTGGTGAGGGCAGGCTCAGGAAGGTTAGACCATCTCTTCCTGTGGCAGCCTTTTCTGTGCAGAAAGGAAGTGGCCGTGCAGTGCTGCAGTTAACTGATGGCAGTGTCTGCAAAAGGATGGAGGTCTGGAGGTTGTAAGAAATGCTCAGTCTTATCTCAAGAGACACAAGTCTATTAGAGACTTTCTAATTGTTTGTTCTCTAAGCACCAACTGAGAAATAGATTACTTGTAGCTTCATTCCTGGCTCTTGTCTGGCTCAGCACATATAGGTCATAAAACACATTCTGGTTGTATTAGAAAACTTTCTTTTTTGACTCTGAAACTTGATAAACTGAAATTTCAGTGACACCAGCATTCATGGACATTGTGGATAAAAAGAGAGAATGTGGGAAATATACTGATGTGTAACCACCAGGAAAAGGCTTAATGCAGGGTCTAGCAAACCAGGCTCAAGGACATCATACCTCTACCCATGACCTACCTATTCCAAGGGGACAAAAAGCTATAGAACAGAGACATCAACAGCTGGTGAGTTCACAGTGGTGTCTCGGTGTTGGTGTTAGCTCTGTTCAGGCTGTTACAAGAACCCACAGCAGAGAAACAACGCAGTCAGTGATTCAAGGAAATAGTCTTGGAGGAAATGACTTCTAAATTGGTCTATGAAGGAGAATTTCCCCTGATCCTGGAGTTGCCCAGTCCCAACCAGACCTCTCTGCATGTCTGCACCAGGAGTTTCTTCAAAGGGCTGCACAGCCGGCTGCTCTCTGCACAAAAAGGGAAGCTGCAAGAACAGATGAACACCAGACATAGAAATGATATTCTAGGTAGAGTGACCATTGCAGATGAAGATCCAGAAGTGAGTCAGCAGTGGACGTATTTGGGGACCTGTGAGAAGTGGAAAATTTCTGGAGTAGATGCAGGCAGTTGTCGTACTTGAAGGATAGGGGAAGTCAGTGTTAGACTGGTGGGTGGATAGGCAAAGGTCACATCATGGAGGGGGCTGAGAGACTTGCAAACTAAGATGAATTTGAGACTTTAGCTAGTTAATAGAAATAAGCCAAAGGGTTTTAAGCTTGAGGGAGTGTTTGTGGGTGGGGGCAGGTCACAAGCTTGCAGGTAGGGTGGCTGCTTGACAGGTGGCTAAAGGAATCCAGGTGAGATCAGTGAAGTTAGGAAAGTTAGTAAAATTTGTGATGAATTTAGTACTTAGAGAAATGCAGGATGGGGTGGTGGATTCGGTGTGGAAGGGGAAAGTCAGAGAGACAGTGAAGATCAGTCCTGCGGCTCTGGCTTGGGCATTTGGACGGATGGCAGGACCATCCGCTGAAAGGAAGAAAATAGGAGGTGTTGGATTTTGTCAATAATCCAAAACATGGTGTTCCTCCAAGTGACAAAACCTCCTGAATAGGACCTGGAATACAGGACTGAATATTATTGAGAGCCATTAGATTGGAAATGGAGTCTTCAGTTTGGGCAATAGCTTAGTCAAATTTAAAGATTTAAGCTCCACAAGAAGAAAGGATTGGAGAGTACCCTGGCACTAGGCCTAACGCAGTTAGCTTGTCCTGCTGAACCTTGAAAGCTCATTGCTACAGCAGGTAGAGGATGGACCCCTGGTTCCGCAGAGCAGCTGCACTGCAGAGTCCCTGAGGCTGGGGAGTGGGGAAGAGCTTCTGTGGGATGATGGAGGAAGTTTTTCCTGCTGGTCGGAGAGGGGTCTCCTGCAGGAGGAGTCTCCTTGTTCTTGCAGCTGCCCTCCGTTTTTGTGCAGAGAGCAGCTGGCCGTGCAGCACTGTGGATAAACTGCTGGCGCAGAGGTACAGAGAAGTCTGGTGGGGGCCGGGCGACTCCACGATCAGGGGGAAGTTCCTCTTCTCTTTTCGAGAGACACTGTACCCTTCAGGAACATCTCCCTTATCAACCAGATCAACATTATTTGAATAGTCGATCTGCCTTAGGCCGAGCCCTGGGTCTTGTCGATACCAGGACATATAATCATGGTTCATATTCTGAGAACAAGTCACCGTCAACTTCTTTCCAGTCACTGTGATGAGGTATCTTGGGTTCTGGGTCACTTGGGCTTCCAAGGGGCCTGTAAAGGAAGGGGACAGAGTTAGAGGCAGAGCTGAAGGGGATCTCCAATGCTGAAGACTTTAGGAGATGCCTTGGGCTGAGATCTACAAAACAAGGCCAAGAGTTGCCCATGTGTTCTGGGACTCACCTGCTCCTAGGAGCCAAAAGACCACATAGCCAAGGAGCTGGGGGCCCATGGCATCATCAGACAGGTGTCTGCCAGTTCTGGGGGCTCCAGTTGGTTTCTGTAATGTCTCCACCTCTTCAGCTATTTGGGCCTCAGAGACATTTTCAGGAGAGAAACCACTCCCACTGCAGCTCAGAGGGCTGAAGTGTACAAAGGCAGCACAGCCGACTCAGGCTGGGGACATCTGTGATCAGTGTCATTTTCCTTAATCTGTGTGAGGCTGCTTCTTTTTATATATGTGCCACATTTTCTTATTAATA